TTCCGCAGTGCAGGTCTCCTTGCTTCTCTACTTTGACATCACTACTGTGTTTACATCAGAAAAAAGTGAATTTGCATAAATAGGGGCTCTCCAGGTATCCTAATTTTCAATCTTTTCCCCCCTTACTTCAGTAACATCTCTGCTTATTTTTCCTTCAGATCAGGCCCTCTGGTGACTTTCTGGCCCCTGGTCCCTTTGCCCCCAATCTCCATATTCTAGAGGAGTTTGGCCATCAGTCTTATGGTTCTTCTACTTTCTTCTGTGGTTCTTTCTCTTCTTCTTCTGGGAATACTCCTATTTAATCACCTTCCTGTTGTCAGGTTCCTTTACCCACTTGGCCACCAGTCCCAGGTGGAAGCCCTGGAAGGTCTGGGAGCGCTTTTCAAATTTTAGTTGACCTGAGGAGAAGCTACCCTTACCTGAAACCAGGTTGTACAGGCCAAAGAAGCAGGTCTCTGTGTTCTGGAATCAGATCAGCTCAGTGAGGTGACCAGGCTCCATGTAAAGAGGACTATGAGGAGTCGTCTCTGGTGGTGAGAAGGTTAAGGAATCAGGATTCTGCTTCCTGTTGTAGTGCATGGAAACCTGTTTCAGCTTGATGGGCCAGGGAAGGCCTCAGAGGAAGTAACTAACCCTGGAGCAGAGACTGGGTTCTGAGGTAGGAGCCAGCCTAATTGGTCTGAGAAATGGGACACAGGGAGAAGGAGAGGCCAAGGGAAAGGCTTTGGATTTTATTCTAGGTGTAATGGAATCCCTGATAGGTTTTAAAGAGGAGAGGATGTGACCTATGTGTATGTGTATGTGTATATATATATGTATATATGTGTGTATATATATATGTATATGTATGTATATGTATATATAATTGTGTGTGTGTGTATGTATATATATTTATTTACTTGTATTTTTTTTGAGACAGAGTCTTGCTCTGTTGCCCAGGCTGAAGTGCAGTGGCACAATCTCGGCTCACTGAAACCTCCACTTCCAGGTTTCAAGTGATTCTCCTGCCTCAGCCTCGTGAGTAGCTGAGATTACAAGCATATGCCACCATGCCTGGCTAAGCAAGGCTGTATATTTTAATTGGGAAGTTTAAACTCTTTACATTCAAGGTTGTTATTGATGAGTGAGGACTTATTCCTATCATTTTGTCAATTGGTTTCTGATTGTTTTGTATGTCATTTGTTCTTTTTTCCTCTTGAAAAATTTTTCTTTTTTTAATTTGCTTTCTATTTTTTTTTTTTTCTTTTCCTTTTTTTAATAAGAGACAGAGTCTTACTGTATTGCCTTGGCTAGTCTCAAACTCTTGACCTTAAGCAATTCTCTCACCTCAGCCTTCCAAAGTGGGGGATTACAGGGATGAGTCACCATGCCTGGTCCCTTTCTTCTCTTATCTTTTCAGATTTGGTGGTTTTCTGTGATGATAATGCTTGATTTCTTTCTCATTTGTGTATCTAGTCTATCAGTGACTTTTATACGTTTGCATGCTTTCTTTCTATAATTCCCTTTTCCTCCTACCACATTTTGCTTACGGGAAGGTCTCAATCAATGCTTTGATACCACTTAACATAACTGGAAAGTGATTGTGATAATTGGCTAGCTGCAAGTCTTTCTCAGAAGACCAGCCCTTTGAGCCATTCTGGGTAGGCTGGGGGGGCAGCAGGGTTGAGAGGCCAGCTACAAGTGGCTCTGCTGTTGCCCTCCAACATGGAGCCCAGCTGAGCACCTGCCTTCAAGAGGAGATCTGATGTAGGTAGCTGGATACCAGCAAACACACCTGTCTGGAGGCATGGGAGAAGATGAGAAGGATGGGAAGGAAGTAGATGTATTTTTAATTTATTTATTTATTTATTTATTTAAGACGGGATTTCACCATGTTGGTCAGGCTGGTCTTGAACTCCCAACCTCAGGTGATCCGCCCACCTTGGCCCCCAAAGTGCTTGGATTACAGGTGTGAGCCACCACGCCTGGCCCATTGGATGTATTTTTAAAGAAATTATTGACTTCTGATGGGGTGGTTTGCAGATTTTTTTTTTTTTTTTAAGATGGGGTTTCACCATGTTGGCCAGGCTGGTCTTGAACTCCTGACCTCAGGTGATCCACCCACCTTGGCCTCCCAAAGTGCTAGGATTACAGGCTTGAGCCACTGTGCCTGGCATGCAGATTTTTTTTTTTTTTTAAATAGCTTTTTGTTTTTATTTTTTTTAGAAAGTTTCTCTGTCACCAGGCAAAGACCAGGGTGGGAACAGGAAAACCAGAAAACAGGTCAAGGGAGAACAAATCCCTTTTCCTCTCACCAGTGAACAGCAGGTGAGGGAGCAGCCTCTAGGAGGAATGCTACTCAGGATGGGCTTGCTACCTGCATGGCATGAGGGTGCTGTCTTGCAGGTGCTGGCAGCCACAGTCTCCATTATGGCTAGATTCAATACAGGTCCAGACTTTTCCTGACACTGCTGGAGAGGAAGTGTGCGTCACGGTCCGAAGAGACAGCCATGGGGAATGGAAGCATGGGAAAAAGGGGTAGGGAGGGGAGGAGAGATGAGTGGTTCTATGCTAATCTTAGGATTCCTTCTCTACACTTTTGGGTACCTGGGACAAACCCTATCAAAGGAATTCTGCAGACAGTCTTGGAAGCACCATCTCTGGCACTTAAGGCTTTTTCCTGAATTTCAGAGACAAAAACCTACCCATCCTTGAGCAACTGCAGTGAGGCAGTGTGGAATTCTAACGTGCTGATATACTGCTCAGCTGTGAGCTACTGGGTCGGTTGGAAATTTGCATTGACATTTTAATCCCTTATCCTAAGATTTTGACTCATTGCCATGTTCTTGGAACTCCTGGATCTTTCTGGATTCTGATAGTGGATCAAAATCTCAGCTTCATTCAGCAAACCCAGAAGCTACTGGGGGAGAGTTAATGGTCATTTGTTCATCATGGATCAATTGTTTAAGATCAAGCACCTTTCTATCTCTGTGGTACACAGAGAAAAAAACACATTACTCCACAGTTGGCTTCTCAGATCTGCTGTCTAGTTGCCAGCCTGGGACTCTCCTTGGAAGCATGGCTTCTGCACATATTGGTTACAGTGGCTTACACTGACTGTAACACAGTGGCTCTTAAAACAAGGTTTTTGACCTAAGGAGCCTGTTCTTCAGGCTGATCTGAGCCCCTTGAAGGTATGGCAAGCAGGTGACATTACTGCCCAGGAGATTTGCTGAGAGATCTGGAAGGTACAAAGCACCTCAGGCTTCAATTGGTGTGTGAATCTTTACCACAAACCCCAAAGGGCTGATTTGACTTTCTCTATTACATATAACCAACAGAGAGAGAAGCTTGGGAAATTTTGACTGAACTCAGAAAATTCACCAGTTTCTTGGGAGTCATAACTTATTACGCTTGAAAGACCAGCTTATGATTATTCCCCAACACCAATTTGGGCCCGAATTTTCCCATCTGACCTGTCTCTAACAAGTGAATCAGTCCCACCTTCCTTGATCATATGAGTAAAGTGTTCTGTGATGCTTGGCTGCAGGTGCACTGTGACAACTGCCTTGATGAAGCACATGATCTCAGGCACCAGATGGCATTGCTGCTCAGTAGAGCTGTATGCTGACAGCCTTCCTAGAGGACACCGTGGAAACAGCATTCTCCCCAACTATTAAGATTTATGGTTTTGTTTAAGAAAAGGCCAAAGAAGCAGTGAAGATACAAGAATTAAAAAGGCAATCCTTGCTGGGCGCAGTGGCTCACGCCTATAATCCCAGCACTTTGGTAGGCCAGTGCAGGCAGGCTTGAGACCTGGAGCCTGGCCAACATGGTGAAACCCTGTCTCTACTAAAAATACAAAAATTAGCCCAGCGTGGTGGCACACGCCTGTAATTCCAGCTACTTGGAAGGCTGAGGCAAAAGAATTGCTTGAACCTGGGAGGTGGAGCGGTGAGCCAAGATCGCACCACTACACTCCAGCCTGGGAGACAGAGAAAGACTCTTTCTCAAAGGAAAAAAAAAAGGCAATCCTTTTTGGTGAGATGGAGCCACACCCATAGGACCCCAAAAGTGGCCTTATGGTAACAGGAGGATCCTAAATGTGGATCATCCCAAAGGAAATGCTGCCCAAGTTCAAAGTGCTTTTTCCTTTGCTAAGAAAGTGATTATGTTAATAACCTCAGTATCCTCAGTGGGAGAGTATCTGGCAATAAAGTTGCAGCCACAACTTGGAAGTGTCTGGAAGAAATCAACTTCCCATAGCCACCTTTGGCTGACTGCAGGTATTAGGTCTGTAGACTTCCTTTCAATCAGCCTGCAAAGGCCTCATCTGGCCATCTGGTCACAGTTTTACTGCTTCTTCCCCTCTTGTTCTTATTCAAGCATCACTTCCTGGAGGGTAGACCAGCTTTATAAGCAACCTAGAAAAATCAGGTCGAGTTTGGCTTTAGAGATCTGAAGCTCCTAAATTTTCTTCCCTCTTTGGAAGCTTTATTAGAATAATCCCCTCCCTTTTCTGTCCTCTTCCTAGCTAACCTAGTCTCAAGGCTCACAGCTTTAAAGGCAAACCTCAAGATGTGCTGCATCAGAGGCCAGGCACGGTGGCTCACGCCTGTAATCCCAGCACTTTGGGAGGCTGAGGCGGGTGGATCACGAGGTCAAGAGATCGAGACCATCCTGGTCAACATGGTGAAACCCCATCTCTACTAAAAATACAAAAAATTAGCTGGGCATGGTGGTGCATGCCTGTAATCCCAGCTACTCAGGAGGCTGAGGCAGGAGAATTGCCTGAACCCAAGAGGCGGAGGTTGCGGTGAGCCGAGATCGCGCCATTGCACTCCAGCTTGGGTAACGTGAGTGAAACTCCATCTCAAAAAGAAAAAAAAAAAATGTGCTGCATCAGAAAGCCAAGATAGAAAGCCAGTCACCCAACAGGCGATTGTAATTTAAGGTTCCAAATAATTGTTAAAGTGTGTATCTTCTGTTCTACCTAAAAGAAAAAGAGACTGAAATGTCAATTATCATTTAGAATTATGAGTGAATTTTTATTTACATTTAAGAGTCTCTCTCCCTCCTTGTGTTCTAGTCTGTGAATGGCTCACACTTGGACTTAGTGTAGGCTCCTAGTGGGAGGAGCAGGGGGTAGTGAGAATCCTCATCAAATGGAGTAACATAACCCAAATCTCTAGAGGTTTCATAATTTTGCTCTTGCTTCTAAAAACATAGTCATCTCTTATGGGATGTTATGTGCTTTGTATCCTGAAATTTTCCACTTGCTGCTTCTTGGTGTGAGGGAAGAAATGCCAGCACGTGGCACTGCAGGAGGAGACTGGTGGAAGCCTCAGGGCTAGGCCTTCACTTCCCAGTAATGCTGTTCCCAATTCCCTCCAGGATGGGCAGAGACTCCTCAGGTTCTGCAGCAGACGGGTGTGAGGAAAGCCTGCTCTGCCTTGGGCACCCAGGATGGCACTGAGTTCTAAAAGGCAAAGGGTATGTGGTAAAGGACCAGGCTGAGGCCCTGGTATGGTACCATCATGGGCAGCAGCACCATTTGAGGCCAGGTAGGAGAGACGTGCAGGGTCTGGCCCCCCAAGAGACCAGCAGATAAACTGGGGTGGCAGAGAGAGATTCCAGTGTAACCAGGAAGGCTGCAGATCATAACAACAATGGCTGCTGATTTGGCAGCAAAGAGGTGGCACTGTCAAAGCCATAACCGCTGAGAATGGCACCAACATGCTGCAGCTGGAGAGAGTGGAGACCAAATTTTTTTGAAGAACAGATGACACTCTTTGAATGGCTCAGCCAACAGCCCAAAGTTTTAAGGGAAGACCTCTCTGCTAGCTTCTCTTGGACAATGTCTCCTGTAAAATCTCCGAGGCACTTACATAGCATATTTTTGTGTCCACTCTCTTGCTAGTCTGTTGTACCTGGAAGAAAAAAGCAGAGGGAGTGACACCCTCACTTGAAACGGTCACTTCCCTTCACTATGGTGCAGAGAACAGGACTGATGTGGGGAGTGCTGCTGCTGCTGCTGCTGCTGCTTGTCAAACATCTAGGGCTGATGGGTGAATGGAATAAAGGCTTTTCCCGGACCAGGAGCATATCAGACATGGCTGTAACCCCCAGCTTGGTGAACCCCTCATGTGCAAACCCCAAACTGTTGATTCTTCATAACTATCTGCTGTGGAAGATTTAATAATGCAACAGACTTCCTCCCTTTCTCTCTCCTGTCCTACAATATGGATGCAGGGAGGAGAGAGAAGAGACACACAAAGGTCAGTCTGTACTAGTTACAGGCCGTCCAGCACACAAACTCCAGAACAAGGGCTAGGGAACCTGCCCACCGGAGTGTGAATCAGCACCATCCTCAGCAGTTGTTCTGACCCTGTGTGTGCTGGATTTTTTTATTTCTTGCCATGGGGAGAGTATCTGCCTTGTGTGCTTGTGGGGAAGACTAGACAAGCCTGTATGTAAAGCATGTGGAGGAGGCCGGGCATCCACTGAGGGCTATGCAGGTATGTGCACTTACTCTCATCATTGTAATGAGATTTGATGCCATGAGACTACAAATTAGAGAGATTTATAGTTACAAGAGGCACTAAAAAAAAATCACTTTGGTATGTCTAAAATATTTCATAAGTGTTAAAATAAACAAATATAAGTTAAACCTCAGTCAATTAGAAATGCTGAATGTTATTGAAGAAACTCCAGTGAGGGAAATAATAAGATCTATAAAGGTCTTAAGAAGAATAAAATTTGAAAAAACCATGTGGCTGAGTGAGTGTGGTGGCTCATGGCTATAATCACAGCACTTTGTGAGCCTAGGTGGGCAGACTGCTTGAGCCCAGGCGTTCAAGACCAGCCAGGACAATATGGCAAAACCCCGTCTCTACAAAAAATTAGCCAGGTGTGGTGGCACATGCCTATAGTCCCAGCCTCTCAGGCGGCTGAGACAGGAGGACAGGTTGAGCCCAGGAGGTGGCAGCTGCAGTAAGCCGTGATTGCACCACTGCACTCCAGCCTGGCCAACAGAATGAGACCTTGCCTCAAAAAAAAAAAAAAAAAGGGAAAAAACATACTCCATTCTAATCTCTTCAGACAGAAAAGATGTAATGAGTAATGAGCTGAAGAACTCACTCACTAAAAATGCCTTTTAAAAGGGCCAGCAATGCCTTCCTTGGAGGCCCACAACTGAGATTCACACTACTCATGGGGCTGCAGCCCCTACCACACCTGGCCCTTTCTCACAGTGCTGTCAGCACTCAGAGACTAACACATGGTGATGACTCTTTGTGCTTGCCCAACCAACTACAGACATCCTCATGCTACAGTGCATACGGTTGTGCCTGGCCTACGGGGAATCAGAATTTTACAATTCTGGGTTTGTTAATTGGTGTTTAAACAGAGAGCTGGCTGTGAAGTTCTGCTGGTGAGACGGCAACACACTGCTGACCTCTGAGACTGAGCCAGCGAAATGACCACAGCAGTCTTTCCCACCTTGACTGCCCTCAGCCTCACCTTGGGTAGAGCCAAGCAGACATCCCCTTGTCTTAGGCTATAAACCTTAGAATTAAAATCAGAATTTTCTTGTTGTCAGATTCTTCTGAGTCCATTCTTGGCTGACCACTGATTTTGCTGGCCTCAAGGGCGGGGCTTGGCAATGGTTTCGTAAATAGTAGCAGCAGCTAATGAGTTATCCAGGAGGATGAACTGCTTTTATCTCCTTCTCCCTCCTTAGACTCAAAGGACATGTTAGTGAGAGAGCCAGGAGTCCAAGCCCAGGGCACACCCACTGTGCGCATGGCTCAGCATGGGCAGGAAGATGTCCGTGGGAACCTGTAGCCCTGAAGCACCTGCTCAGAGCACAGGTACTGCATGGAGCTGCCTGGGGCAGCCATGGTGCAAAGGCAACCCAAAGAGGACGCGTACTTTTCTCTGTCGGCCTTGTAGGTGTGAGCTATCTCTGGTACCAGAGGGTCATCGGGGTTGGGGTCGCAGAGCAGTGAGCAGATGGACAAGAGAACTGGAAAGAAAAGGAAAGGTTGGTCAGCTGCAGCCATGAGGTGGCTAGGTCACCCTAGGGTGAACCTCCCTGAACTCACATTCTCTATTGACCAAGCAGTTGTCTTCCCTTCAACAGCCCAATCTAAATTGCTTCATGCACTACTTGCTCTGTCCCACGTATCAGCCGAGGCAGTCCTCACTGTGTGGCCTCAGGCACACTGTGCTAGGACACTTTCCTCCTGGGTGCATCCTGGCTGTCATTCCCCTTCTCCACTGAAGTACCCCATCTTAGTCTCCAACTGCCCTTCCATCCTTGTTTGTACCCCACATCATGCATCTCTGGTGTTTAGTCCCAAGAGTCCTGTTTATTGGTAAGGAAACAAGAGTTCAGAGCATTCAAGTAACTTGTCCAAGGTTACAGACTTGGAACACCCAATAAATGGGCAAAAATGAGATTCTGAACCAGGTCTAACCATAAAGCAGATGCCAGCACCGTCTCTAGGACGTGCACTCAGCGTGGCTCTCAGTAACTCTGGGGGAAGGGAATCACCCACTAGGGCTGTGGTGGGGAGCAGAACTGTGGTGCCCGGATTCTTGGGGTCCCAGACGGAAATGTGGACTCTCATTCCTAGCTTTGCTTTCAATTCACCATATGATTCCAAACAAACTGGATTCAGCGAGTCCATCAAAGTCCTGACCACAGTTCCCCACATGTAAAGCTACAAATGACGGGTCAGGTTTGCCTTTCTTAAGATACTTGGCTGGGGGCAGGTTTGCCTTTCTTAAGATACTTGGCTGGGCACGGTGGCTCACACCTATAATCCCAGTGCTTTGGGAGGCCAAGGTGGAAGGATTGCTTGAAGCTAGAAGTTGGATACTGGCCTGGGCAACAAAGACCCTGTCTCTACAGAAAAATTTAAAAATTAGGCTGGGCTCTGTTTTTTGTGGGGGATTGATTTTTCACCATCCTACCCACGCTCCACCTGGCAGGATACTGCACCGTCTACATTCAGGTCTCCTGTGTACACACAGCCCATGCTCAGCCCATCTTAGTTCAGGAGGAATATCTGCATTTCTAAGCTCAGTTTAGACTGGTTTCTTCAACTTCAACCACAGACATGGTTTATTATGCTCAACATCATTTATTTTGTGAAGGGAGGATTTCTCCACCAATTTCAAGGCCCCAGGGGCATGTCCTGTATCTCTTCCCTCAGGGCTGACTCACAGTCCGTGTTGTGCTTATTGGATGAATAAATGAGGGAACAGAAAAGGTAATATAATATTTGCCTTTCTTATTTTTAGATAAAAAAATCTAAGTAGAATCAATATTTTCTTTTTGCACTCATGTGACAGTCTTGAGCACCCCTTGGCAATCGACTGCTGAGAACCGCCTTGGTGCAAGGCACAAGGTTCTGCTGGTGCTGCCTCCTGGGGGGTGCAAGGATATCCACTTATGGGCACAACTATGGACAGGGCTGTGTGGCCTGAGAAAAGTGCCTGCTCTCTCTGAGCCTCTATCTCCACTCAGACAGTGCTGGGGTAAAAACACGAGTAAGAGACAGGCACACAGAGCATGCCATCAGTGTCTCTACCTTTTGACACAGTCAATGCTGGAGACCACTGAGACCGCAGGATATCAAGGCAGATGCTGCCATTGCTGTTGATATTAGGGTGATAAATTTTGGTTGTGAAAGCGACCTGAAAAGACAAGAGATCCCAAATCAGACAAACACAGGGACATCTGGGAAATGAACCACGTAAAGCAGAAGCAGCTGCTGCTGGGATGTACCTGCAGTGTGCTGCATATCTGGCCCCACAGTGCAGGCTGAGCCAGACACCCACTCCCAAACTCTAATGGTATATGGAAGTGAGTGATCACTCAGAAGTTCCTTGACCCATTCCCTCTTGGATTATCATTCTGAACATAAGGGGATTGATACCATCTCTGAGAAAGCAGTATGCTCTGAGGGAGTAACAAGGGTGGTGAAAAGGACTCAAAAGCCCAGAATTTTTATGCAAAAAGCAGTGATGTTTTGTGGACATAAGACACATCATCAGGAGAAAAGCCCTGGCTGTGAACCCTCTGCCAGGCCACAAACCCTCCCCAACTTTCTATTTCACCCTTTGTAAGGCCCCTCTCTTCACAGAATTGAGCTCTAAAATACCCTTGTGCATTTCAAATACATAAGGATACCCACTGTAACAAAAGATATGAAACCTATATGTGTTCAGACTGATGACTGGTTAAATTAATGTTATATATGAGCAATAGAATATTACACAACTGTTTGAAAAGAATGAGGTGAATTTTTAAAACATGAATGTGATCATATGGAACAATTTCCAAGATGTATTGCTGTGGGAAAAGCAAGATGCAGATTCATGGAAAGGTCTGTTCCATTCTTGGGAGAAACAAGGGAGCACAAACAAGTGCTTATCCAGGTGGAGATTACTCCTGGAAGAGAAACGAAAAGACAAGTAGGACTCAGTGCCTTGTGGAAGGAAAGTGGGGGGCCATGGCTAGAGAGACAAAGTTTGAAGAAGGTCCTATTTTTACTCTATACTCTCCTACATTTGACCTTTTTTTTTTTTTTAAATCACAGACACACATTACTTCTTCAAATGACCTCCTTAGACCTCAGAGCCTTCACAGTAACTAGGTTCATGGTACCTCTCCCAGGGATGTTGTGAGACCCACGGAGAGTCTGCTCTCTGTGATATGCAAGGTGCTCTGAGTCACGTGCAGCTTCCACTAGAATTTGCCTCACCTACACCCCCACTGGGCTAGCAGTGACCCCACTGCAGGGGCTAGGACAAAGTAACATAAGGATTTCGCCTCCTCCGCTAGCTCTGAGAACTCACTGGTACTTTTTTTTTTTTAAATAGAGATGGGGTTTCACCATGTTGCCCAGGATGGTCTTGAACTCCTGACCCTGTGATCCTGCTGCCTTGGCCTCCCAAAGTGCTGGGATTACAGGCGTGAGCCACCACGCCCGGCCTCACAGGTACTTTTTATGCTAGATGGAGGAAGCACAAACATCCTTTATATCATTAACATCCTTTATATCATCCTTTATATCATTAAGCACAAACATCTACAATTTTTTGCATGCTTGATATAGTTTTTAATAGTTTTTTTTTTAAACTTACTTTAGAATATGACAAAAGAGTTGTGTGCTTGTGAACTTGAATATCTATTACCATATAATTTTTCCCAGGAAGGATCAAACTTCAAAAGGGTCTCAGATATTATCTGCCTCAATATCTCCAATAAAGATCATGCAATCTTGCCAGATTTCTCCTATTTTCAGAAAAATTGTGACAAAACATAAGTCCAGTTGCTCCTATTTCCCTGCGGAAGGAGATTTTTTAAAGGCAGAAGCACTTTCTTTCTCAGAGTGTCACTGTTACCTTTCACCTCACATCTCTCCTTGTTAAAATAATCCCAACTCACCCACAGAGCTTACTTAGTCTTTTTTTTTTTTTTTTTTTTTTTGAGGAAGATTTTTTTCTCGTTGCCCAGGCTTGAGTGCAGTGGTGCAATCTGAGCTCACTGCAACCTCCACTTCCCAGGTTCAAGTGATTCTCCCGCCTCAGCCTCCCAAGTAGCTGGGATTACAGGTGCCCGCCACCACACCTGGCTAATTTTTTTTATTTTTAGAAGAGACAAGTTTTTGCCATGTTGAAAAGGCTGGTCTCGAACTCCTGACCTCAGGTGTTCCACCCGCCTTGGCCTCCCAATGGTCTGGGATTACAGGCATAAGCCACTGCGCCCAGCACCTCTTAGTCTTTTAATAATAACCACTGTTTCTCCTTTGTCCTTGGGCAATTAGGTATCCTGAAAACAACCAACGGACATTCAGAACTACCTCAGCATCTGTTTAAGGAAAATCCTCAGCTGCTTACATGGTAATGAAAGAGGTAAGCTAGAAAATTACTACTTGATAAGACACTGCCAACAGTCTCTCCACAAGGGAAGGGAGAGGAGGTGAATCAGAGCACTGTGAAGCATGTTTATGCTTTTTCAGCCAAACCCCCTTGAACAGCAGTTGTACTCCAATGCGGTGAAGCTATTTTAGCATCTGTCATTGCTCTGCTCCACACACCCCACTCCCTTGCCAAAACCTGAAAAGGTCTTTGGGATCCTACACATATTTAACCAAGATTTAAAATGCTCAGGCACCAGGTAGCCTCTGGTGGTGCTGTCTGGACAGAGCTACAGCTGGTGAGCGCAGAAAGGGCTTCTTCACATTGACTCAGATAAACAATATGCAAAACAGCAGCTAAGCCTCTGGCTCAAATCGAGCCATCAAGGCCAAGTCAAGGTAGTGAGACATAGCAACATCACAACCCCTCGGCTACGGTGTCCGATGTAGGTGCAGGACTTCGGAGTAAGTCTTGCCAAAATGCACAACCTGGCCAGGCGCAGTGGCTCCTGCCTGTAATCCCAGCACTTTGGGAGGCCAAGGCAGGTGGATCACCTGAGGCCAGGAGTTGGAGACCAGCCTGGCCAACATGGTGAAACCCCATCTCTACTAAAAATAATACAAAAATTAGCCGGGTGTGGTGGCAAATGCCCGTAGTCCCAGCTACTCAGGAGGCTGAGGTGGGAGAATGGCTTGAACCCGGGAGGCAGAGGTTGCAGTGAGCCGAGATCATGTCATTGCATTCCAGCCTAGGTAATACAGTGAGACTCCATCTCAAAAAGCAAAAACCAAGACAAAATCAAAAAACCAAAATGCACAACCTCAGTCCAATCCTGAGAAAACATCACACGAACACAAAATGAGGGCCATTTGACAACATAATTGTTTGATACTCCTCAAAAGCATCATGGTCATGAAAGACCAGGAAAAACTGAGGTACTATTACGGAGTGAGAAGATTAAGAAGACATGGCAATAAATGAGTGCTGGGTTCTGGAACACAAAGAGGACTTGATGGAAATTGGTAAAAACTGAGTATGGTCAGGCCGGGCGCGGTGGCTCAAGCCTGTAATCCCCGCACTTTGGGAGGCTGAGGCGGGTGGATCACGAGGTCAAGAGATCAAGACCATCCTGGTCAGCACGGTGAAACCCCGTCTCTACTAAAAATACAAAAAATTAGCTGGGCATGTTGGCGCGTGCCTGTAATCCCAGCTACTCAGGAGGCTGAGGCAGGAGAATTGCCTGAACCCAGGAGGCGGAGGTTGCGGTGAGCCGAGATCGCGCCATTGCACTCCAGCCTGGGTAACAAGAGCGAAACTCCGTCCCAAAAAAAAAAAAAAAAAAAAAAAACTGAGTATGGTCTTTAGTGTGTGGTATCGCGACCAGCATTAATTCCCTGGTTTTGATCATTGTGCTATAGTAATGTAAGATGGTGACATCAGGGAAAGCTGGATAAGAAATACATAAAAACTCTTTGTACTGTTTTTGTAATTTTTTTCTAAGTTTAAAATTAACTCAAAATAAAAAGTTTTTTTAAAAGGCTGCCACATCTGGGTTCCAGTCCCACCCTCCATTATGGGCCATGTCATCTCAGGAAATGATACAACTTCTCTAAGCCTCAGTTTCCTCACTCACAAAAGATAGTTGATGTCTTTATTTTTAAAAGAGAATAAAAATATATGCTAGTGTATGCAGGAAACACCCTGGAAGACTGGACACCAGGACGCCAGCTGGGTCTTCTCTGGGTCTGCATTAGGCCATGGCTATCATCAGCGAATTTAGTTCTCTATCTGATAATAATGAACTTTCACCAGTTTTGCAATCAGAAAAAAGCAGATGTTAAAAATGATGTGACTCACACACACCCTGTTGTGTGGCCACACCTGACTGTAGCCTGTCCTTGCCGGCTCCACCTAACACTCCTAAATTCACCTCTTCTCCCCACCTCCATGCCACCAGCCATGCCTCACCACAGAGCCTCACCTGGCTGGGATCCCTACCCAGCCTCTTCTCCACAAGGCCGCAGAGTGATCCTGTTGGTGTGGCAATCCCCACACAGGGCGTGCAGACCCCACTCCTGGGGCCATCCTTCCCAGCTCCTCACAGTCTCACTCCCCTGGACCAGTTTCCTGGAGACCTGTCTGCCCCCTTGCTTAGCTTCTACAGTGCCCCTCCTCAGGGTAATCTCCCTGCCACCCCAGCTCCTGCTGCCAACCCCTGCTGATGCTCCTCCCCAGTGCCCACTGGCGTATGTGCTAAACGCCCTGTCTCCTCCACAGGACTGTGAGCCTCATGGCAGGCTCGACCACCCATGCAGGGCCCAGGTGAGGAGGATTATGAGGTGCAAGGGTCCAGGAAGCAAGACAACCTGCAGTGAACAAGACGTGCTAGAGCAGGATGGTCAAGGTACCTCCCTGGGCTTCTCCTTCCCTTTGGTGACACTGTTCTCTAAAGCTCCAATGAGGGGATGCTGTCTGCATACAGAGCAAAGGAGGCCTGCTATTCTTTTAACTTAATAAAGGAAAGTGAATGTGTGACTCACCAGTCCTAAACCAGGGTGTGTCCACCTTGGCACTATTGATACTTGGGGCTGATCATTCTCTCTCATGGGAAGGGAGGCTGTCCTGTGCACTATAGGGAATCCCTGGAACACCCTCACCTTTGCCCACTTGATGCCAGTAGTACCCCCTCACCACAGTTTTGACAACCCAAAATATCCTAAGATGTTACCCAAATATCCCTGGGGTAGTAGCAAAATCATCCCAGCTGAGAACCCCTGTCCTAACTCTAAGTAAAGGACTGCAGAGAAGGGAGCCAGAACCTGGAGACATTACCAGACTCAGCTACAGCCACAAGGAGCAGCATTCAAACTGTGGTCTCAGTAAGGAGGCCAGCACCAGCTCACCCCACTGACCCTTGCTCACAACAGGTGCTAATTCCCAAAGTCCAGTGGTTAAAGTCCTGGGAGGCTGTCACCACAGGGTAGAGCGGTGGGCCCAAAGAGAAGCCCCACATACAGCTCTTTTTACCTATACCCGATTTGAAGGGCCCCTTGTCACATGCTGTCCTTCATCCAAACATCAGGGAAGTTGTGAGGGGGACCTCACCTTTGGGGGCTTGAATGGGTAATCTGTAGGAAAGTGGATGGTCAGGAAGAAAACACCTCCTTGGTAAGGACTGTCATTCTGGAAGGATGAGACAGAAAGAGATAAGTGCATGTGCTAAGCCCAAAGTGCAAGAAGCAAAACTGTAGCGGTGTGCTCAGCAGCCACTACCTACCGGGCCCATGATGGTGGCCTGCCAGTGGAATACTGCAAGACAAAAGAGAGACGGGCATGTAAGAGATCCCCCAAGAAACATGTCTATCTACTGAAAATGCACTGCTAAATTACAAGGTACCGTCCACACAAGATGCCCTCACTTCTGACACCAACTACAAATTGGGGTTCCCCAAACCACCCAAGATGCCTAGGAATCCTAGAGCTCACTGAAAGTGGCTGTGCTCATGATGGCCAGTTATCACAGGGAAACAGCATAGGTTAGCATCAAGAGGGTTCAAACACAGAGCTTCCATTCTTCTTTCTCTGTAGAGTCGGGATATATTATTCTCCTGGCATTGCTGTGCAGCAACACACACAGAGAACTCCCAATCAGAGATGCTCACCAGAGCCTCCATATTCAGAATTCTTATTGGGGCTCCTGAGAGCATGATTGACTGATTTGAGTGCCCACAGGGCTGATATCAGGCTCCGGTCTCCAGCTCCTCCAGGCATGATCCAAGCCCCCACCTTATTTTATTTTTTTGAGATGGTCTGCCACCCAGGCTGATGGGCAGTGTCATCATTATAGCTCATTGTAGCCTCAAACTCTGAGGGTCAAGCTATCCTTGTGCCTCAACCTCCCAGGAGCTGAGACAACAGGTGTATGCCACCACATCTGGCTAATATTTTTACTGTTATTTTTTCATTTTTGTAGAGATGGGGTCTTGCTATGTTGCCCAGGCTAGGCTCTCACCTTAAACCACATGAGTGGTCTACTTGGTGTGGCCAGTCCTCACCCGAAACCACATTGTTAGTGTGCATCAAAGCTTCCAGCCAAACAAAGACACTCCTAGCAGGTATGATATCTTAGATATTGCCCCCTAAGTGTTAAGAATGAAGGCCAGATCTTTTGGGGACAAGATTAAATTTTTGTTGTTGTTGTTGTTTTGTAGAGATGGGGTTTTGCCATGCTGACCAGGCTGGGCTCAAGCAATCTGCTAGCCTCAGCCTCTCAAAGTGCTGGGATTACAGGCGTGAGACATTGTGCTCGGCCAAGATTAAGTTCTTTACTACACAAGTGCCAATAACTACAATTCAGTCAGTTCTTTGCACAGAATTAAGCCTTAGCTAGGCTTCAGCCATTTTCCTTCTTGCTCTTTATAAACCCTCCTATTCCTTGGTTTCCCCTGATTCATTCTGAAGCCCTCTCCAAAGACTCTCTCTCAAGAGCCAACCGCCCATGGCCCTGGAGCCTCATTGGTGCTGCCTCCGAGTCCTCTCCTGGCCAGCCCCTGGGCAGTGCCCTATGCTCTAGGCACTCAGTAACAAGATCACAATGAGCACCTCTTGTACTTCCTTTCCAGGTCGCCACCCTTTGATGGGGGTTTAGAACCTCCTCTTGCTGCACAACACATCCCACACCCTCTCCAGTGTCTCAGGTGATTTTTACTGCTCTACCCATTCCCAGAACAGCTCCTGTGTATCAGCAAGGCTAGCCTAGTGTGGCCCAAACACCCACATCGAAGGCTCCCAAGTCATACAAATGGTCCCAGGGATATTGGCTCGAGAGGCTTTGTGGAAAATGCCATCATCCAGTCGGGTTGCTGAGACCATCTAAAGGGCCTGCTATTCGCAACAGAATTCTGTCTCATATGGGTTCATAGTGGGTATGGAACTAGCCCAAAGTTTCAGACCTGGTCCTGTTTAAATACCCCACAGGCTCTACCCGACAGGAGGCCCAGGAAAGTACCAAGGTTTGGGGTGGGAGCATAAGTGCAGGGACATAAGTAGAAGTTTCCCAATCCCTAGAGGTGTCCAATAGTCAAGGTGGCCCATGAGCCCTTTTCAATACTTCAAAGAAATGGTGCTGAAGAGAATACCTTTACCTGTAATAAGGCTGCCTGAGTTAATGAAAATATCACTTTTTTTTTTTTGCCTTTGACTGTTTTTATTCCAATTAACATTAATCATTAGTTGGCAGTAGATATAACTTTGCTTAATATTAATGTGAATGGAATTCTTTATTAAATAAAGTGTTTTTGATAATTAATATATTTCAGAACAGAAGGTTAGAATCCTCTGGTCTCCTTCAATTTAACCCTGAGGGCTGCTGGGACACTAAGCAGGACTTGAGGGCGGAGTCAGAAGAGAAGGCCCCAAAAGCGAGAGGACGAGAAAGGAAACAGAGGAGGGATGCTGGAAGCAGCTGTGTGCCCATAAGGCAGGTGTGAAATGGCCCCAAAGGCTAGCTTTCAATGCTTTCTAAACCTCACCCAATGAGGTCTGACTGTGGTGGGTGGCCTTGATGCTAGCCTCTCTTAGCACTGGGCTATGGTGCAAGGTAAATGTGAGCTGAGCTGAGCATCAGGGAGCTGCCTCTAGACAGCTAAGGTGGAACAAGAACCAGTTCAAGCTTACAGCGACCCCAGTTTAATCTGATATGATCTTAAGTGACAGGTAAGAGAGGAAGCATGCTACGGAGACCTGGGGTGCTTGTGAGGACAACATGAGGTAAACACTGATTAGTGGGGAGCAGGGTGATGAGCAGGTATCAGGAGACAGTGGAGCAGAGTTGTTCTTGTTTCTTACACTCTGCACAGGCAGCTGGGAAACATTTCTGTTCTGCTCCAAAAACAAGATTTTTTTTACGTGGGAGCTCAGCTCAGCTCCCACGTAAAGCCTTTAAAGTCCTCCATTTTCAGTGGCTCCATCTGCCTACCCGTTGCTCCTCTAAGCTTGGTCCCCTCCCAGAACATGCAGGTACACATATGACACCATGCCCTCATTTTTTTCCAGCTTGGTAAAATTTATTTTTGTAGTAAAAAATATACAAAATATGCAATTTAAACAACTTTTAAATGTACAATTCTGTGGCATTATATGCCTTCACAATGCTCTAGAACCATTCCCACTATCTATTTCTAAAACTTTCCATCACCCCCAACAAGCTCTGTACCCATGAAGCAACATTTCTCCCATTTCCCCTCCCGTCAGCCTCAGGTAATCTCTCATCTGCCATCTGTCTCTATGAATTTGCCTAATCTATATATTTCCTGTAAGTGGAATCATATATTCATCCTTTTCTTTCCCACTTATTTCGCTTAGCATGTTTTCAAGGCCCATCCATGTTGCACTGTGTATCAGAACCATATTTTGTTTATCTATCATCCACTGATGGGCACTTGGGTTGTTACCAGCTTCTAAAAATCATGAATAATAGTGCTGTGAACATTGGCATATACATTCTATCTCAGTCTGTTTTTGATTCTTTGGTATGTGTACCTCTGACACCACTCTCCTTGAACACACAGTATCTCCCCTCCCTGCCTACTTTCCTATGGCTGCAGTTACTGAAGCCTCACAGGGAAGGAATGTGTCCCAGAGCCCAAGAAGCCCACAAAGTGGAGATGAGGTGAGTGGGCAGAGAACAGACCTGGAAACCCTAATGCTGGGCAGCTCAGCCTCTGCCAATACCTCTGAAGGATGGCAGAGGCCTGGCGCAGGCAGTGCTGCTTCTCCCTCTCTCTCCCCAGAACCTGTCCAGAGCTGCTTCTTAGTCTCCCCCAGGGAAAAGCAGAAGTGAAAGAAAAGAATAGGGATTGTCCTTCCCTTTGGCAGAGGCAGAGGCAAGTGGCCACTGCCCTACCCTGCTCTGCCCCTCATTGGCCATCCTGCTCTGCTCCCAGGAGCTGCAACACCACCAGGCCCTCTAAAGCAACTCCAAAAATATTTACACCAGCACCCAAGTTTGACTTGGCCAAGGGCACTTTCCAGCAGCCGATGTGACTCCTCAGGGCAAGCTGGCTTTCTCATGCCCCAGAAGAGGGAAGTGGTGACTATGGGACATGAAAGGCAATGCAGGTACTACTCTGAGTATCACCTGACCAGTCAAGCTACTGTGAACTCATGGCCTAGACCTCAAATGAAAAAGCAAACGAGGGGAAAACGACTGATTGATTGGTTTTCTTAAACACTGCTTGGCTGATAAATTTGGGTGTTTGTTTTTTTTTCCTTTTTGAGACACAGTCTTGCTCTGTTGCCCAGGCTGGAGTGCAGTGGCATGATCTCAGCTCACTGCAACCTCTGCCTCGTGGGTTCAAGTAATTTTCCTGCCTTAGCCTCCCGAGTAGCTGGGATTACAAGTGTGAGCCACCGTGCCTGGCCTAAATTTGGGGGTCTTAATTACAATGCTCCTGCAACCTGAAGCCCCCAAAAATACTTACAGTCATCACCTACAGGTCCCGCAGAACACTGGGCAGGAGGATCCCTCTGCAAGTCGGTTAATTCCTAGAACATGAGATAGTGGGTCAGAGCTGCTGTTCGTGGGGATGCTGCCTCTACACACCAATCTTGGTAGCTGGAAGGAATTCTCCTGGTGGGAGGAGGCTCCTAGGCCTCAGGAGGGGGTTAGAGACAAGGTGGGTCATGGAAGTCTACTCCCTGCTATAAAGATGCCAGAGAAGTAGGTCTTATCATTTCCATTTTATACATTAGAAAATTGAATTGTAAAGAGATGAAGTTACCTACTCAAGGTACAGAGCTGGAAGACGGCAGGGTAAGAAGTCAGTCACAGGTAGCTCTGCCTTACCCCCAAGACTGGCCTCCCACCTGATTAGGTAGAGGACATCCCCAGGCCCCCAGGTGCTCAGGATATGGAAGAAAAACAGCCCAGGAGAGGTTCTGGGAGGATAGGTGCCAGGTTTTACTGTAGGCTAATGAATTAATGCATGGAAGCAGTTAGCACCAAGGAAGTGTTCATCTCTCTACTTTACCTCCCCAACCACCATCCCAATCACCCTACTCACCACTGGTTATGTGGCAAGTCCTAGGGCTCTGAATGTGGAGACTTTGGCACGTAAGCCAAAGTCTAACAAACACTACACCAGTGGGGATCAGGGACTACACCACAACTAGATTCCCTTTATGGGACACCAACTCTGGCCATAATCCTTTAAAGTGAGCCTGGTCTGGCATGAGCCTCAAGGCCCAAGATTTTGGGCAGTGACTCTCAAACTTCAGTTTGCATGGGGCTGGGCACATGCCTGTAATCTGAGCGCTTTGGGAGGCCAAGGTGTAAGGATCACTTGAGCCCAGGGGTTCAAGACTAGACTGGGTAACATTGTGAGACCCTATCTCTATTTAAACAACAAAAACAACAACAACAAAAAAAGTCCCGTGAGGCTGGAGGATCACTTGAGTCTGAAAGGTCAAGTCTTCAGTGAGTTGTGATTGTGCCACTGCACTCCAGCCTGGGTGACAGAGTGAGATCCTGTCTCAAAAAAAAGAAAAGTTACATGTATGAGAAAGTTTCCTAATACAATACCCCCTATTCTTCCCAGGTTCCAGATCTTAGTAAATGCCTTAGGTTTCCACAGGTTCTGAAAGGAAGGAAGGAGGTACAAGCAACAGTATATCATGCATTGTGTGGCAGGGAAACTCCTCAGGGACCTGGCATGTATACAAAGTTCACACCTGGCTAATGACATTCCTCCTTCGCTGAACTAAGCCAAACACAGTCCTATCTACACAAACTCTCCTGGTTTCACCATATGTCTCTGGACATGCTAATCATTTCAGTAACCACCTCTCTGGAAATCCTGCATTTATCTCCTTCGCTTCAAATTTAATCAACCAAGATGGAAGTATTAACATCTCAAAAGCCAGCACATGCTACAAATCAGGGCCATGTTTTCTCCCCAAGAGTTGATCTTTAAACATCTACCGGTATACCACTGGCCAATTCTCAATTAGTATCTAATATATCTGAATACATTTACTCGTAAGTAAAATGAATGTTACTTTGCAAGCACTCAGGAAGCAGCATCAGGAGTGGTCAAAAGATAATTTAACTTGGGGAACAACTGAGGTCAGACAAGGAGACCAAGGACAGGCTCAGAAATGCAAGAGCTACAGAAATCAGCCGGGTGTAGTGGCTCACACTTATAATCCCAGAACTTTGGGGGCCTGAGGCGGGTGGATCTCCTGAGGTTAGCAGTTCAAGACCAGGCTGGCCAACATGGTGAAACCCTATGTCTACTAAAAATACAAAAAAATCAGCTGGGTATGGTAACCCCAGCTACTCGGGAGGCTGAGGCAGGAGAATTGCTTGAACCTGGGAGGTGGAGGTTGCAGTGAGCAAAGACCATGCCACTGCACTCCAGCCTGGGCAACAGAGCGAGACTCCATCTCAAAAAAAAAAAAAAAAAAAGAAAAGAAAAGAAAGAAATCTCTGCAGAACAGTTCCTTTTTGCTTACCTCTCTGCTGTGTGCCCCTCAGCACCTCCATTATCACTTTGCAGGGGAACAGTTCATATACATTGTGACACTGCATGGATGAATGAGCTCTATGACAGAATGGTTAAGGCAAATCCTAAATAGGTTATATAAGCAGCCAGGGGCAGGAAAAGCCAGCAGTACAGGCCAATTCCCCTCCACCTCACAAGGTTTTCCCATACTCCATGCTTTTGCACTGCCTGTATGCAGAATCCATGTCCCTCCTTTAGAGGTGTGATGAACGGTTACACCAGCACTTAATGATCCCTGAAAGGCCACATGCAGATCTCTACTGATAGACTCCAACCAGCACCTAGGAGTCTCGAATGCTAACTGGCATTTCAAGGAAGAATGGTGCGACTTAAAAGAAACTGGTCCACTCACACATCGAATTCCTGTGCTCACCTCACAGGGTTAGAAGACTCAGGTCTGAGTCCCAGCTCTGTCTCTGAGGAAATCACTTTCACCTCTTTGGGCCTCAGTATAACCATCTGTTAGGTTGTAATCATACTTGTCTGCCAACTTGCTGGCACTACTGTGTGGCTACAAATTTTGTATATAAATTTTTAATGTATATAATGTAAGCAAGAGCACCCAGTAAATATTAAGACAATAGTAATATAGCGGATGCTACAGTTAGCATTATAAAAAGGAGACGAATAAGTAGAATATATATATATATTTCTAGAGGAATATTTTGACATTGGTTGCCCTCCCCCAGGAGAGGAATTGGATGGCTGGCTACAGTCTTGGGTGGGAGACTTTGCCCTGTATATCCTTTGTACCTTTTGGACCGTGGGAATTTATTACCAAATCATTAAATATACAAATAAAATATTTTATTAATTGTAAAGGGTTAAGTAGATTGTTTATAATTATTATTACAAGTAATGATGATAAAAGTGAGAAGTCCTGAAAAAGAGAAAGTATTGAATATTAGTAGAGAAGAGTTAAGCAAACCATGGTACACACTCAGTTATTCCTTCACTGTGTTTCATCAACTCCAAGACTCCATCCTTTGTAAGACACATATTTTTAATTTACATACACTTAAGAAAAAAAAAATGTGCTGGCAAATAAACTAACACCAAATGCTTTCTTTGCACATATACTTTATTTAAAAATTAGTTTTATCAGGCTGTGTACAGTGCCTCATGCCTGTAACCCCAGCACTTGGGAGGCCAAGGCGGGTGGATCACTTGAGGTCAGGAGTTCAAGACCAGCCTGGCCAACATGGCGAAACCCTGTCTCTACTAAAAATACAAAACTTAGCTGGGCGTGGTGGCACATACCTATAATCCCAGCTTCTTAGGAGGCTGAGGCACAAGAATTGCTTTAGAGGGTGACATCATGGACAGGGCGGAGCGTCTGCGGTCTGCTGGGAGCCTCCAATCCCCAACAGTTTTGCAGGACACTGATATCTGTGGACTCTAAAATGGACTTAACTTAAAGAAATTCATGGACCATTAATGGACAAAAACATCAATCAATACGTATTGTGGTATTCAAATACTAGCACTTTGGGAGATCATTGAGTACCAGTTTTTGAAGACCACGGCCTATCATCATCATGCATTCAAGATTTGAGTTTAAATAACTTCATTAAGACTGAGATCTTCAAAAGCTTCAAGTCTCATCTGCATTAAAGCTCTCCCACAAAAGCTCTCTCACAAAAGTACTAGCTTAAAGGGACTAAAATCCGTTAATGCATTCCCTTTATATCCCTTCTTCTGACTTCTCTTCAATTTCCTTGGCCTCTAGGATCTTTTACATTGCTTATGTTCCTTTAGACTAGATGCAAAGAGACAGTGCTTTCCAAAAAAAAAACATGTGTTCTGTGGCCATAAGTTTTCATTGGTAGAGAAGCATAAATTTAGCATGATGAATTTGGAATTAGGTCTTTTATGGTATCCTGTAAAAAGTTGAATAACAGTAAGAAAATAAGGATGAAGCAGTAAAAATATTTTGGGTTAGATTATACTCTCAGAAGCTATGTGGTTTAGAGAAAAGGGCCCCCAACCTAAAAGTTAATAGTTCCTATCCTGTCTCTGCCTCGTACTAGGTATATGGTAACTAAGAAAGTCACTTAACCTCTCTGAACCTTAACTTCACTATCTATAAAGTGAATCTGATATTTTCCCCCGCCTACATCACAGGGTTGTTGTGAGGATCAAGTGAAATAATGTACATAAAAAGACACATATAAAATGTGTAATACAAGGCGGGGTGCGGTGGCTCACACCTGTAATTCCAGCACTTTGGGAGGCCGAGGCGGGGCGGATCACCAGGTCAGGAAATCGAGACCATCCTGGCCAACATGGTGAAACCCCGTCTCAAAAAAAAAAAAAAAAAAAAAAATGTGTAATACAGACAAAGAGTCCTGTTACATAGTTCAAGTCATTCCCTCAGATCTTGGGCCTAGGAAGGTAGGTGATTTAAGCTCACTGAAAGTATGTACCATGTCCAGGCTGGATACATGGTAACAAGGCTATGTTAATTTTTTTTTCTCTGAGTTGAGTACCTAAAATACCACATGGGCTAATTCTAAGGAGGAGCATGACTATATATTTCCTTAAAATTAGAGCTTAGCATTGTTAATGCTCTAGAGCAGTTATGGGTTGTAACATATCAGTGATTTGTGAAATTTTTTGTTTACTAAAAGGTGACCAGCATTTTTCTTTAAATGAAAGAACATAGAATATTTCACAATCCATCCCACATGGTAAGAGTAAAATAATTGTTTTAGTTGTATATACAAGTGTGTGTGTGAATACGTGTGTGTACTTGGTTATCAAATAAAATACTTTTTTTCCCTGTTGAAAGTGAAAATACTTTTTTTTCTCCTTGTGGGAGAAGAAAAAAAAAGGAATCGCTTTAGGCTGGAAAGGGGAGGTTGCAGTGAGTCAAGATGGTGCCACTGCCCTCCAGCTTGTGTGAAAAAGACTCTATTTCAAAAAATTTAAAAAATTAAAATTATTTTTATCAAAATAATTATTTTAGGCTTAAACAGAGCTTTGTGTGTTTCTTTTTGTCATTCATGCATAGGAAAAAAAAAAAAGAAAAAACAAGTGAAATAAATAAACTGATTTGTTCAGGTATTCCTATTCAGAGCCCAGCACTGAGTCATTGATGTCTACACAGTATCATCCTCTGTGTCTTCCAAACTAATGGTAATGTGGAAATTCTTAGAATCCTCTACTACTGCTTCTGAAGTTTTCTTTCAAGCCATCAAGACTCATTCTGCAATGGCCCCGTGATACACAATCTCTTTGCACATATTCTAGCAAGAAAAAATGATCCAGCCTCACCAACTTGAGGGTAGGTGGTACCTTTCTTTCTGGGGCTATGAAGAATTTGGTTGCTTGACATGGAATTAGAAAATTGCAGTCTTTCCTCTAACAACAACAAATATTTGCTCCACTAATAGGAAATTTACTCTCCACTGTCCTGTTTCTGTGCCTCTGTGTTCACAAAATCTTTTCTTTTCAGTGCTAAATCACACTATCTTTTTGAAAATATTTTTAAAGCAGTTAAACTCAACAAATATAGTACCAGAAATGCACTTACCTCATAATGAACTGCAATGATCCAGTTTATTCATACAGATAGTGACAACTAAGTGAAGGTAACCTGGCTGACAGCTATTGTAAGAAGCATCAATTCATAATTTCAGATATGTGAACATTTGAAAAAAATATTCATCTTGAAGTACATGAATATGGTATTATCTATACTTCCACGTTCTCTTTATTTCTATTTTATTTTATTTTTTGAGACAGGGTCTCACTCTGCTGCCCAGACTGGAGTGCAATAGTGCCATCTTGGCTCACTGCAACTTCTGCCTACCAGGTTCAAGCAATTCTCATGCCTCACCCTCCAGAGTAGTTGGGATTATAGGCATGTGCCACCATGCCTGGCCATTTTTGGTATTTGTAGTAGAGACAGGTTTCACCATGTTTGCCAGGCTGGTCTCAAATGCCTCACCTGAACTGATCCTCCTGCCTCAGCCTCCCAAAGTGCTCGGATTACAGGTGTGAGCCACCACACCTGGCCCCACATTTCTTAAAGAGCAATTACTATCTTTATAACCAGAAGTTAACTAAACTTTTTTTTTTTTGAGAAACTGAACCAAGTATTATGCAGCCACTAAAAATTACAGTTTTTAAAGACTACAGAATAACAGGAGAAAATGCCATGATACAACATTAAAGGAAAAGGGCAAGAAAAAGCAGAGTATAAAATGTGATGTGCTACATGATGACAACACTCTGAAACACACACATCAAAGGCACTGAAATAAAATCCACCAAAATGTTAACACAATTACCTGAGTGGGTAGAATATATATATATTTCTAGAAGACTACCTTAACATTGGTTGCCCCCCAGGAGGGGAACTGGATGGCACACATTCTAGCAAGAGAAAGTGACCCACTTTAGATGACTAGAGATGACTTTTTTAAAAACCGAATTTTGGGGGTATTTTCCAAATTTTCTTCATTTAATTTTATTTATTTATTTTTACTGTTTTGAGGCAGGATTTCGCTCTGTCACCCAGGCTGGAATGCAGTGGTGCCACCTCAGTTCACTGCAACCTCCACCTCCTGGGTTCAAGCAATTCTCATGCCTCAGCCTCCCGAGTAGCTGGGATTACAGGCACACGCCACCATGTCTGGCTAACTTTTTTTGTATTTGTATTTGTATTTTTTTATTTTTTACATTTTTAGAGACAGGGTTTCACCATCTTGGTCAGGCTGGTCTTGAACTCCTGACCTCATGATCCACCCACCTTGGCCTTCCATAGTGCTGGTGGCGGGAGCCGCCACACCTGGCCTGTATTTTTATTAGAGAAGGGGCTTCATTATGTTGGCCAGGCTGATCTCAAACTCTTCACCTCAAATGATCCACCCACCTCGGCCTCCCAAAGTGCTGGAATTACAGGCATGAGCCACCATGCCTGGCCATTTTTTGTATTTTTAGTAGAGATGGAGTTTCACTGTGTTGCCCAGGCTGGTCTCGAACTCCTGGACTCAAGCAATCCACCTGCCTCAGCCTCCCAGAGTGCTGGGATTATAGGTGTGAGCCACTGAGTCTGGCCTGTCCTTGCTTCTTATCAAGGAAAAGCTCTCCCTGGCCTTATGACTTCAGCTACCTTGGATCTATAGTTGACATTTCATGCTCAAGGTCCAAACTTGTTTTCCAAATCTTCTGTTTTATAAATCTTATCAGTTGACACCTTTGAATATGTAGGCTCAAACCTTTACTCCTTAATCTCTCCTACCCTCCTCTCTGCCCCCAAAACTTGATTCCCTATCCTAGACAATGACACCACTATCTACCAAGTGACCCATTTTGTGCATCTCCTTGTTTCACTTTCACCACATCCTCTCTTCAAGTCCTGTCAATTCCACTTCTGCAATATGGTCCAGGCACTGCTTTGGCCTAGTATCCACTCCATGTTCATTAATTTGGACAAAGCCTCTGCTAAACCTTCACAACAGCCTCTAGTCTCCCTCTGCCCCACTTCAGGCCACACTGTAGCCAGAAGGATTTTTTTATAATACAGACCTCAGCATGCCACTCACTGGCTTCAAAGTTCTAGGATGACAGATGACCCCTTTCAGATAATAACTCATCAAAATTATCTCTCTTTTGGACAGCTATTTAATTTTTTAAAAATGAGTCATACTCCCAGAGATCCTGTAATTCCACCTCTGGCAATCAAACCCAGTAACGTGAATTAAGAAAAAGGCTCATTGAACAATGACGGTTGATCTGGTTTGGGTATTTGTCCCCTCCAAATCTCACGCGGAAATGTGATCACCAATGTCAGAGATGGGGCCTGGGGGGAAGTGTCTGGGTTATGGAGTTGGATTCCTCATGAATGGCTTGGTGACCTCCCCAAATAATGAGTGAGTTCTCAGTCTATTAGTTCATGAGAGATCTGGGTGTTTAAAAGAGCCTGGCATCTCTCTTGTTCCCTCTCTTACCAAGTGACACGCCTGCTTCCCCTTTGCTTTCTTGCCACGATTGTAAGCTTCCTGAGGCCTCACCAGAAGCAGATGCTGGCACCATGCTTCTTGTACAGCCTGCAGAACTGTGAGTCAAATAAATCTCTTTTCTTTATTAATTATCCAGTCTCAGATATTCCTTTACAGCAACACAAAACAGACTAACAGCAGCTAACTCATATTGAGTGCTTGGTATACAGCAACCATGTGCTAAACACATTTCATAGCATTTAATTCTCAAAACAATTTTATAAATATGTAGGACTGGGAGGCTAGGAATGATTAAGTGCCTTGCCGAAGGTCCCACTATAAGTGACCTCACATTCTCTAACTCAGGTCTGTCTGACACCCAAGTCTATACTTTTACCTACTACAGGTAATGACTAAGCAAGTTACTAGTCATGTACTTGTAGAAGGTTAATGTTAAAAATTAGTTATAGGACTGGGCATGGGTGTCTCATGTTGTAATCCCAACATTTAGGAGGCAGAGGAAGGAGGATTGTTTAAGCCCAGGAAGTTTGAGACCAGCCTGGGCAACAAAGTGAGACACTGTCTCTACAAAAAATAAAAAACTGACTAGGCATGGTGGCATGTAGTGCCAGCTACCCGGGAAGCCGAGGAGAGGGGATCACTTGAACCCAGAAGGTTGAGGCTGCAGTGAGCCATGACTGTGCCACTGTACTCCAGCCTGGGCGACAGAGCAAGACCGTCTCAAAAAAAAAAAAATACAGTTATAAATACTATTTCACAACATGCTTATGTTTAATATTATGTGAAAAAGTGGAATACAAAATACGGTATAATTGTTTTAAATATAGAAAAAAACTGGAAGTAGATATGGTAAAATGTTAACAAACAGTAAAGTGACAGAATTAGAAATACTTCTTTTTTCTACTGCTGTGCATTTTCCAATTTTAGTTAATGCATTAAACCCCCATGAACTCCCTCTTACCTGAAGGATAAAAACCAGTTACTTCAGCACTGCCCCTAAGGACCACCCGAGTCTGCACCATGCTCCCTTCAGCTTCCCCCTCCACCCCGTCTATCCTCCAAGTCTCGCGATCTCCCCGTTGCCAGGAAAGCCTTTTTCCCTCTTCCCCACCTGCCGAGTTCCTAGTCATCCCTTAGGACCCAGCTCCATCCTCGATACCTCTGTCCCGCCCTTCTGGATACCCTACAGGTACAAGTCCGCCTTACTCCGGGACCCAGCAGCCCGCTGTCCAGGAGGCTGCAGGTGGCCCCAGGGCGCCCCGCCCGCGTGACGCAGCCCACGTGTTCACGGCCCGGCCCCGCCCCGCGCTCGCGCAGTCCCCTTCTCAGGCTGTGTCCCCTTTTCAGGCTGCGCTGGCGGCGGTTCTGCCTCCTTCTTAGGCAGGTGTATCTGCGCCGCGCGGCGCCTCCGTCACCTTTCACTTCGCTGCAGCGGCGCCCCGCCCACACCTCGACGCTTCGGACACCCAAAGAGTCGGAGGGTGGGAAAGTGCGTACCTTCTGGATCCGCTTTAGCGCCATCCTACCCCGCTGCCCGGAACCCTGGCGGCCCGGCTGGGGCTGCCTGAGGCGGCCCGCTGCCGGGTCAGCAGCCAGCGAGCTGCAGGCTGGGAGCCGCCGCCTGCGCTTGCGCGCGCGGGGCACTGTGGGGCCGTAGTCGCCGCGTGCCGAGCGTCCTGGCGCGGCCGAGGGGAAGCCGCGGGGCTGCCCGGTTATGCTGGCCACTCTCACCTGGTCATGTGGCTTCCACCATTAGACAGCAAGGGCCTGGAGAGGCCAGCGACGAGGAGGGGCTCGTTGGCTTTATGGAGACGCGCCGAGCACCCTCAAGGTGCCACACGCTCGCTTGCTCCCTGTCCCTACCTCCTGGGCGTCTTCCCAGGCTGTCATGTAACCCCTGACGTAGGGGTTGTTAACTCTGTAAGTATACATACCCTTGTACGCCCTATAGCTGCTGTGCAGCCATTTCCATGTAGATGTCTGTGCATACATGCACACGCACAACTCCGCAATTGTGGAGATCTCTGTTCAGTCGTACCTCACGTGATCTTGCACTACCAACGTTGAGAACCAAGGCCTTAGACTATGCATGTCCCAAACTTAATTATTTGTCTCCTTCCTATTTTCCCAAGACTTGGCAGCCTTCTAGGTCAGAGTTGTTCAAACTGAGGGTTATGAACTAGTGTGTCACGGAATCAATTTAATAGGTTGCAACCAACATTTAAAAAAAAAAAAAATGCCAGACGAGGTGGCTTAGGCCTATAATCCCAGCACTTTGGGAGTCCGAGGCAGGCGGATCACTTGAGGTCAGGAGTTCAAGACCAGCCTGGCCAAGATGGTGAAACTCCGTTTCTGCTGAAAATACAGAAATTAGCCGGGCTTGGTGACATATGCATATGCCTGTAATCCCAGCTACTTGGGAGACTGAGGCACGAAAATCATTTGATTCCAGGAGGCAGAGGCTGCAGTGAGCTGAGATACGCTTTTGCACTCTAGCCTGGGCAACAGAGTCTCAAAAAATAATAAATAAAAATTTAAAAAATAAAGTAGAATAAAATATCTCCGTTTCTTTTTTTCTTTTTCTTTTTTTTTTTTTCTGAGACAAGTCGCCTAAGCTGGAGTGCAGTGGCGAGATCTTGGCTCACTGCAACTTCCACCTCCATGGTTCAAGTGATTCTTTGCTTCCTGAGTAGCTGGGATTACAGGCGCCCGCCACTACGCCCAGCTAATTTTTTGTATTTTTAGTAGAAATGGGGTTTCACCATCTGGGCCAGGCTGGTCTTGAACTCCTGATCTCGTGATCCACTTGCCTCGGCCTCCCAAAGGGCTGGGATTACAGGCATGAGCCACCTTACCTGGCCAATATCAGTGCATTTCACATAGTAAAGGTAAGAATTGTGAAAGTTTTGTTGGTGTGTATATGTAGATGATATTTAATCTTCAGACTGAGACGTGTTTGAACATGAAAGTGGGTGCTCATATAATTACCTTGGGACCAAAGCTGTAATTTGAGATTGTCTCCAGCCAGACAGGATACATGGTCATCTCTATGTTTGTACTTAGGATATAAAATGTATTATAGACATTTCAGTGGTTGCCCAGCTTTGTCCCTGGCTTTCATGTTCCTATTTCCCCAATCTGTCCTCCACCCAACTTCATGAACTGTCTGAAATATAAATCTTACTACACTACATTCTTACCCAGAACTCTTCATGGAAGCCCTGTGGCTGACAGCATCACATTCACTGTCATCCACGGGCCTTCAAAATCCAGGATCCTCCACCAGGCACAGTGACTCATGCCTGTAATCTCAGCACTTTGGGAGGTTGAGGTGGGTGGATCCCTGAGTCCAGGATTTCTATACCATCCTGGTCAACATGGTGAAACCCTCTCTCTACAAAAAATACAAAACTTAGCTGGGCATGGTGGTGTGAGCCTGTAGTCCCAGCTACTCGGGAAGCTGAGGTCGGAGGATCGCTTGAGCCCGGGAGATCAAGGCTGCAGTGAGTTGTGGTGGCACCACTGCTCTCCAGCCTGGGAGACAGAGCAAAACCCTGTCTCAAAAAAACAAAAACTCGAAACAAAATCAAGTATCCTCCAGCTTTACCTTCTCCTTCCTAACCTCCAGCCTACCTGACTATCGTTTTTCCATCACTGCACCATCTGCATTCCTTGACTATAGCACTCACCTTCCAAAGCCAGCTCAAGCATCACCCGTCAAATGCTCCAGGTCAAGCACTTCCCCTTGGTGTCAAACATTTACAACAGAAATTTGTGTTAGTCCCTGGGCCATCCATCCTCCTACATTATTGACATGGCCTTCCCTCCCATAAAACAAGTGATTCTAGATTGTGTGAATGTTTATATATTTGTGTAAGAATATATGAATGGTTATTTATGTGGTAAGAATGTATATGATGGTTACGAAGTGTCAGATCTCAAAAAGAATATTATTTTTGGAGGGTAGGTTTACTAATGTGTTAATTTCTAAAATGTCTAACATCATTTGTGTAATTCAGGAAAAAAAGAAACAGAATTGTATAGGATAGAAAATGAAAAATTCTATTTCTATTCCGTTTGTAGTTTAGTGCATAGCTTCCTAAACATTTCAGTATGCTTATATGTAATGTTTAATTTTTAACACTGAAATAATTTTAGATGTACAGAAATGCTGGAAGAATAATACACAATTGGCCGGGTACAGTGGCTTATACTTGTAATCCCAGCACTTTGGGAGGTCGAGGCGGATGGATCATTTGAGGCCAGGAGTTCAAAGTCAGCCTGGCCAACATGGCAAAACCCTATCACTACAAAAAATACAAAAATTAGCCAGCTGTGGTGGCGTGCATCTGTAGTCCCAAGAATCATTTGAACCCAGGAGGCGGAGATTACAGTGAGCCGAGATTACACCACTGCACTCCAACCTGGGCAACAGTGAGACTGTCTAACAAAAAAACAAAAAACAAACCAGAATAATACAGAAAAGATTTTTAAATGGATGAATTTGACTACATGAAAATGGAACACTTTTGTGCTTCAAGCAACACCAACTAGAAAACAAAAAGACAGCACACAGAATGGGAGAAAATATTTGAAATAATATCTCACAACAGCCTAGGATCCAGAATATATTAAGAACATTTAGAACTGAATAAAAAAGACAACCCAATTAAAAACTGGGCAAAAGGTTTGAATAGACATTTCTTCATAGAAGATACTCAACTGGGCAATAAGCACATTTAAAAAAATCAGGCTGGGCATGGTGGCTCAGGGCTGTAATCCCAGCACTTTGGGAAGCTGAGATTGAAAGACTGCTTAGAGCCAGGACTTTGAGACCAGACTAGGCGACATAGCTAACCCATCTCTACAAAAAAAAAATTTAATTAGCTGGATGTAGTGATGTGCATGTTAGGGCCCAGCTACTTGGGAGGTTGAGGTATGAGGATTGCTTGATTCCAGGAATTTGAGACTGCAGGGAGCTATGATTGAGCCACTGTACTCCAGTGCAAGAGACAGAGCAAAACCCTGTCTCTTAAAAAAAAAAAAAAAAAGGCCGGGTACGGTGGCTCATGCCTGTAATCCCAACCCTTTGGAAGGCCGAGGCAGGTGGATCATGAGGTCAGGAGTTTGAGACCAGCCTGGCCAATATGGTGAAACCCCATCTCTACTAAAAATACAAAAATTAGATGGGTGTGGTGGTGGCGTGCGCCTGTTGTCCCAGCTGCCCTGGAGGCTGAGGCAGGAGACTCACTAGAACCTGGGAGGCGGAGGTTGCAGTGAGCTGAGATGGTGCCACTGCCCTCCATCCTGGGCAACAGAGTGAGATTCCTTGTCAAAAAACAAACATAAAAAGTGGCTTGGTATAGTAGCTTACATCTATAATCCCAGCACTTTGGGTGACTGTCTGTGGTGGGAGGATCACCTAACCCAGGAGTTCAGGACCAGTTTGGGCAACATGACAAGACCCCATCTTTACAAGAAAAAAAAATTTTTTTTTTCACCGAAAGCAGGCACTTGAGGCTGGGCATGGTGGCTCACGCCTGTAATCCTAGCACTTTGGGAGGCCGAGACGAGTGGATCACCTGAGGTCAGGAGTTCAAGACCACCTTGGCCAACATGGAGAAACCCTGTCTTTACTTAGTCGGGTGTGGTGGCACATGCCTGTAATACTAGCTATCCCAGCTACTTGAAGGATGAGGCAGGAAATTCGCTTAAACCTGGCAGGCGGAGGTTGCAGCGAGCTGAGATCACGCCATTGCACTCCAGCCAGGGCAACAGGAGCGAAACTCCATCTCAAAAAAAAGCTGATACTTCAAAAAATTTTAAGAACTAGTAGAGCACAGTGGTGTATGCGTGTAGTCCCAGCTATGATTGCTTGAGCCTAGGAAGTTGAGGTTGCTGTGAGCCCCATTTGTGCTAGTGCATTCCAGCCTGGGAAACAGAGCAAGACCCTGTCTCAAGAAAATAGTAATCATTAATCATAAGGGAAGTGCAAATCAGCCATAATGAGATACCACTTCACACCCTCTGGGATTGCTGTAATTAAAGGGACAGACAACAAGTGTTGACAAAGATGTGGAGAAGTCAGAACCCTCACACATTCTGGTGGGACTATAAAATGGTGCAGTCATTTTTGGAAAGCAGTGTTTAGCAGTTTCTCAGAAAGTTAAATGATGCTGAGCATGGTGGTTCATGCTTGTAATCCCAACACTTTGGAAGGTCAAGGCAGGTGGATCACCTGAGGTCAGGAGATCGAGACCAGCCTGGCCAGCGTGATGAAACCCTGTCTTTACTAAAAATACAAAAATTAGCTGGGCATGGTGGCGAATGCCTGTAATCCCAGCTACTCAGGAGGCTGAGGCAGAATCGCTTGAACCCAAGAGGTGGAGATAGCAGGGAGCCGAGATCACAACACTGCACCCCAGCCTGGGTAACAGAGCAAGACCCCCTCTCAAAATACAGAAATTAGCTGCGCATGGTGGCCTGCACCTGTAATCCCAGCTACTTGGGAGGGTAAGGCAGGAGAATAGCTTGAATGTGGGAGGTGGAGGTTGCATTGAGCCAAGATTACATCATTGCACTCCGGCCTGGGCAACAGAGCGAGACTCCATCTCAAAAAAAAAAAAAAAAAAAAAAAAGGAAAGAAAAAGAAAACCTTGTTGTGCTTTTAATACTCAATTATTTACAGAAAAACATATAATACCCTTTTCAATTTAGTGTTCACATACAGAATTTCTTTTGCAAGAAAACTTCCACAACTCGTTTAAACCTTTAGCTTTATCTTACCTAATTTAAAATAATCCTTTATGATCCAGCAATCCCATTACTGGATATATATCCAAAGGATTATAAATCGTTCTACTCTAAGTACACATGCACACGAATGTTCATTGCAGCACAATTTACAATAGCAAAGACCTGGAACCAACCCAAATGCCCATCGATGATAGATTGGACAGGGAAAATGTGGCACATATACACCATGGAATATGCAGTCATCAAAAACGATGAGTTTATGTCCTTTGTAGGGACATGGATGAACCTGGAAACCATCATTCTCAGCAAACTGACAAAAGAGCAGAAAATCAAACACCGTATCTTCTCACTCATAGGCAGGTGTTGAACAATGAGAACACATGGACACAGGGAAGGGAGCACTACACACTGGGGTCTCTTGGGGGGAAACAGGGGAGGGACAGTAGGGGGTGGGGAGCTGGGGAGAGATAGC